ATGAACACAAATGACTCGGTGATTTAAACTAGTTTAAAGCCAAACAGGAGAAACACTGTGTGCAACGAGACAGTCAGAAGGCTTTTCAATCTACAAATCTCCATCATTTACCATGGATTTACTGTAGTAACACTCACTGCACCATGGTATTGTGGCAGAAATTTGGGATATTCACACTGAATTTCATTAAAATAATGGTATATACTTGTAAGCATGTATTGTGCATGTGCATTTATACTGAATGTTTTTAGACTGTTTTTCATACAAATAGGCTACCTAAAAACCATATAGTTATATTTTTACCATGGTATTGAGGTGCAATGTGTGTAGTTTTAACGGTGTTTATCATTATTTAAATGTATGCTACTATGGGAGACCAATGCTTAATTTAAAAAATAAATAAATAAAAACTTTGTCAGAATAAATTTAACCATATAAAACTTTTCAAATTCAAAAAGATGTTACTGATTTTGATAATGAACAAAAATGTACCTCTGCATCCTAACTCAAGCTACTATCAAATGTGCATTTCTAAGAGACAAAAAGTGATGATATTATTAATATTATCAGGCAACCCAAACCTGTTTCTTAATTGAAACAATGTTACTCATTAGAACAAGCAGAAACTAAGAAATACATTTTTCTATTTAGATATTTTTAAGGAAAATTAATGGTCTGGTTTCTACAACTTTCACTTTGGAGCAAAAATCTGGCTTTAAACTTGAAAGAAATAAAGATTTGACATTTATTGTGATAATTATCGATATCGACTGATATTAATTTATTTTTTATTTTTTGGCCATATTGCCCAGCCCTATATGAGCATTTTTATCAGACTCCTATGTTTAGGTTCAGTAATTTCCCTTTAACAGCAAAGAAAGGGTTATTAGTCAGTTACTGAATGATTTTTCTTAATTATCAGGTCAAAGCATAGGAATACATTTTTGCATGCCTAGTCCCTATTTGAGGCTACATTTTTGTTGGAATGGGATTTGGCTCCATCCAGTCCAAGAACATTAATTTCAGACAGGCTAGCTGGCATTCAGCTTCATTCCAAAGGTGTTCATTCAGGTTGATTTCAATGCTCTGTGTAGGTCAATCAAGTTATGCAATTCCCATGTCAATCCCACCTCATTTCTGCATTGGCCATTTTTTGTGCATGTGTGTATTGACGTATTAAAACAGGAAAGGGCTTTGCCTAAACTCTTTCAAAAAGTCATCTTTGTGTTTCCTTTCCATATCCGAGAGCATGAGGACAAAACTGAAATGTGATGAACTTCATGATATTTTAAAGAGGTGGCATCCAGTGATGGCCCCACATCACATCCTAAAGCTTTTCAATATGGTCCATGCTTGTCTATGGCTGTGTACTTCACTTTTGTGTGCAGCTGGAATGACTGAATCCCAAGTTTGTCCAGACATTTGGTCACTTACAGTAAACATTCTTGCATATTATTAAGTTTTGGCT